ACTTAATAATGCCAATGCCATATTATTTTAATGTGTTGAGTTTCATTCTGTTACATCATTTGTGACTGACTTTTTTATTTCTTAGTGAAAGCCAGCGTTTTGAGTATTCATTTCCCTAGCCCGTCCTCTCGTTCCTCCTTTCTACGTTAATGCTACAATAATACGGAGATTTAGAATCTGTACTGAATAATAACCTCCTGAAATCATCACTTTGCATGGTTTTGAAATCAAGTTCAAACTTCTTTCTTTGTCATTCAATGATTTATACCGTTAGATATCAAAAAGTTTTACTTTTATATCCGAAGAAGTATCCCATGGTTTAGCTGTTTCACAAAGAGCATTCTGCAAACTCTCACTGTTGACTCATGATATCCCTTCAGCTTTCTCCCGTTCAAACCCCTCTCCCCTATGCAACACATTGAGTTGTCAGGGCCCTTTAGTTAAGGGCTTAAATGGTGACAGCCCCGGTTAAGGCCATTTCTACATGCCCATGAATATGTTTCTTATGTTAATTTTTAGCACATACTTAAATCTGTATTAATTATTATGAGTATTTATTGGCCTTTTTCTTCTGTACCAGACTGCAAATTGAACATACTGCTTGGTACAGTGACTTACATACAGCAGGTATCAGTAAATATGTGTTTTTAATAAAATTATTAAAGGAAGGTTAATGACGAGTTAACATAGACTCAATACAACTGAACAAGGCCCTCACACCACCTGAGTTGAAGTGAATAAAAAATAATGCATTTGCTATAATTTCATTCAGCAGGGAACAGGTAGATATGATAAGGAACATTTGCTCATCAGAGAGTGTATTAGAATATAAACAGATAGAGAGAAATACATATGTGCATCTCCAAGTGCACGGGTGGGACCTAGAGTAGAAGACTCTACATTTTAAAACTCAAGGCCTGGGGTTCAGACATAACCCCATTGGTCCCCAGAACTTCAGCCATGCGATTTTTCTCCTCCATTTCTCTGAAGGGAATAATGATTCTGATGAGGCTGGTAGAGAGTTCTGTGTACTAACCTTGCAGGATTCCTTGGTGTTGAGGGGTCATATTTTATAAGTTTCCAGGGCAAGAATTTGGGTCACTGATCCTATGTTTGATGAAGCAAATAGCTCTCTGCAAAGGTTGGTTGATACAATACAACGATTTTATACACTGGGTATTGATGCCAAGGTCTGCTCAGGAACAAATAATGATAATGACCTCCCAGTAGAATAATATCCCTCAAGTTGCAACTCTTGGGAAAAGAAACAATTAGAATTTCCATTTTCCCCTATTGACTCTCAAGTGTTAAATGGTATTATATGAATGTGATCCATTCTTCTTCTTAGATTATGGATTGGAAACAAAGGTGTTGTAGATTTTGTTATAGCTCCAGTGAATTTCATGCCAAAGTATTTAAACAAATGAAAATCAGAAAAATTTAAGATAGACACTAAAGTAATTTTCTAAAGAGATTTCCTATACGAGTTAAATAGAAAATCAGGAAAAAAAAACCTTTGTTTGTAAGATTAGAAAGTTTTTATTTTCACTGATCTCTGTTAACTGTATTTAGATATCATGATATACTCATAAAACAGTAATACTTGGAATATGTTAACTTCTGGGCTATATGAAAACATCTGCTAACTATTGCCATAGACCCGAAAGAAGTTCCTAGCAAAGCTAATAAGCAAGTTGGTTGCTTTGTTTTCCTCTGTAATTGAAAGAGAAGTGTCGAAGAATGATAAGAAGTCATTGTATGTGTATTTAGAGATTATTTTAGTTCTACATAAATACTAAATTATTTTATATGTTTAGAAACAGAAATTGTATTAAATGTGTCTCTTCCAGTATTCGTTGAATGTTGCATCGTTTTTGAGATGATAACTGTGATATAGTTGACATAAAACTTGTGTAAGGTTGTATAAAATGTTGGTTTGAAACTATTACGTATTGCAAAATGATTACTACCATAGCATTAGTGTACTTGGCCATTTCCAATTTACCACTTTCTTTTTGTGATGAGAACATTTAAGTTCTTTAAGAAACTTCCAGGTTTGTAACATAATACCATTTACTATAATCACCATGCTGTACATTAGATCCCCAGAACTTATTCATCTTATAACTGGATGAGTGTACCCTTTGACACCCATTTCCCCATTTTCCCATCACTATTCTTCTCTCTGTTTCTATGAGTTTGGCTTTCTTAGATTCCACATATGAGTGATACTATACAGTATTTATCTTTCTCTTTCTGATTTATTTCACTTAGCCTAATGCTCCCAGATCATTTCATGTTGTCCCAAATGGCAGAATTTCCTGCTTCCTCGTGGCTGAGTAATTCCACTGCTATCGTGCATGTGGTCTCAGCCACCCCAGGGCCCAGAGTCGACAGAAAAGTGCCCAGACTGTGCCAGACTGTGTGTGAAAGGCACTTATTTGCCTATCTTAGAGCATTGGCCTGAGGGCAGACAATCTAACTGAACACACTTACAGGGTCTGGTGAATCATTCTCTGGGGTAGATGCCAGCAGACACCAGCCTAGGGCTCCCCTCTGCCTTCCTCCAGCTTGCTGGGATCTCCCAGAAAGGAGCTGACACCTTGTCTGGTAACCCAAGTTTGCAGCTTCCACCCAGGGGACACCTATCACCTGGCGATGGTGGCCTTCCAGGCTTACACTCCCAGGTCACAGGACGGTAACCAGCAAAGAAAGAGTCCTTAGTGATCCACCAGCGCAGGAAGTGGCAACAGTCTAGACACCCAGCCTCTCTGTGGAAGAGGCCTGTTTGCTTGTCCTCACAGCTGCCCCCAGAGGAACGGGCCTCCAGTTAAACACGTGTAGGGGCCAAGTGCTTTCCTCTCCAGGGACCTGAGGTGGATCTGATCTGATCTTCACTCTCCCTCTGTTGTGCTCAGGGACCAGTATGTGTTGGAGAGCAGGGTGTAGTACACACGTCTGGTGCCCCAGTTTCTTGTCTGGTGCCATGGTTATGTGGCTGCCACCAGAAAGGAAGCCCTTGCTCACCTGACGCTGGTTTCCAGCAGGGCTTCCGTTCCTGGCTACCAGAAGACCACGACAAGCAGAGGGGCAGCTCCAGGGCGGTACCGCGCCATTGGTGCAGTGCAAAGAGCACACCGAAGCACCCGCCAGTCTTTCCGGGAAACAGGCCTTCTTACTTGTCCTGGTGCTTTGGCGTGACGTGCAGGCTCCTGGAGTGGCACACATCCAGAGCTTTAGTGGGATGCTCTCTGCAAACAGAGGCTGGCAAATGCCATCTTCGGGTTCTCCCTCTGCCTCACTCCAGGTTGCAGGTATCTCCCAATGAAGAGCTTACAGATTCGTTTGTTTCCCCTATTTTTGCAGCTGGTGCCCAGGGGACATCACCTCTAGATCACCTGGCTCTAATGGTCATCAGGACTTAACCTGGCAGGTCCCCCAGGACTGTGCATGTTAACATACATTAAAAGTTTGTGCCTGAGGATCTGGCATTCAATCAGCCAATCAGCCTGAATCAGCTGATGGAGATCCTTCTGTTTAGGACACTGACATTTCTTGGCACAGTTTCAAACACTGGATGCCACTAAAAATAAAGCAGGCTTCTTGGATGATTGGGAATGTTTGCACAATAGCCAAGACTAAGGCAGGGTTGCATAAAAATTCATCTCTTATGGAGGCAACTCTTTCAAGACTGGAAAAAGGGGGTTGTTTTATTTAATGCATTGAAATCCTTTGGCTGCATTAATACCAGTTATTGTATGCATTTCTTTTGTGCTTTCTCTCTCAATTTTATTGAATTATATTTTACACAAAAGAAATTTTGCTCAGTACCTACTTATCAAATCATTTTCTCAATGCTTGCAGAGGTGAAGCTACTTTCTGCTCAGGGTACAGAAAATCAAGGGGAAGAAGAGGTGGTTGTTTGTGTTCCAGGTATCACTCTACCACCAGATTCACTATGTTGACTCATGAAATAACAAATTATTTCTTAATATTTCTCCATGTTGCTCACTTGAAATTCAAGGACAAGTCTTGCTTCAGATACTCTTTGCTTATTGACAGGCTTTAATGACTTAAGAAATCAAGTACAACTTCTCACACCTTCACTGGGGTTTGACATACAAGGAGCTCAGGTCAAATACTTCTTAATTTTTGTGTAGAAATAAGTCACTATATCATCGATTATCTTGCAGATCTTAGAAGAACCCTCCAAACATAAGCTTAGGTGATATGAACTCAAAATACAAAGCAAAAAGCAAACAACAGAAACACATGTACCTAATTGGAAAGATCAATGGAAGAAGACAGAATGAAATACACATGGTTTTTCCACTAATATTTTACAAGTGGAACTAAATAACAAGAAAATTATCAAGTACCTACAGGTGAAGGGAACTATACTATATTCCAGAAATAATGGCAGTGAAATATATGTATAGGGGCTAACTTCCAGGAGATTACAGTCCAGTATAGATTTGGACAATAAGCAGGTGAGTACAAACTAGAAGAATAAAAGGCAAATCTTGGGGTACACTGGACTAAGCACCATCGTGCTACAGGCATGGTCCCTTAACTTAAAGTTCTATAAGCATTCTGTAGTAAGACATGGAGGAAAAAAGTCATACAAAATAAGAAAAGAAAAACCTTCCAGGCTACAGTTTGCAAAAAGCTAGAGATCGTAGACATCATATTCCTACAATTTATGTTGTTTCTTGAGTGATTGAAGAAAGGAGGCAGGTAATTGCTGTTGGAAGGTGGTGTTTTCATTATGGTTGAGGACTGGGTTTTTAATTGTATGGTAGAAAAGGGGAGGAGGTGATGGTGATGGCATCAGTAGGTCAATATGTCCAGGTCATCCCTAGGATTTCTTCTAATCTGCATCTCGAAGGCACTTCTGAGTGAAAAATCCAGAGAGAATTAACACCAAATATGCCATAGAAATCAGAAATAATGTTAATAGAATACCATCAAATAAGGAAAAATATTGACATATGGACTATATGAAACAATTAATATAGTTTAATAGTTGGTCACTAACAAATCATCCTCACAGTATTTCTAATCACAATAATATTCTTCTCTCTAGCATTTTCTTCAGGGCAACACTGACATCTTTATTCCTGAGGCTGTAGATCATCGGGTTCAGCATGGGCACAATGATGGTATAAAACACAGAGGACACCTTCCCTTGGTCCGTGGAGCTGGCTGATGATGGCTGCAGGTACATGAAGGCTGAAGAACCAAAGAAAACAGCAACAGCTAAGATGTGGGAACTGCAGGTGCTGAAGGCTTTGGACCTGCCCTCCTTGGACCGAATGCGGAGGATGCTGGCAATGATGAAAACGTAGGAGCTAAGGATGGTCAGGCTGGGGGCAAGGATATTAATTGCACTAACGATTAGAATCAGTAACTCATTGACGTGGGTACTAGAGCAGGAGAGTTTTAAAAGGGAAAGAAGATCACAGAAATAATGGTTGATCACTTCAAATTTGCAGAAATGAATCCTAAACATGCAGCCTGTGTGAGCAAATGCACAAACCAGGCCTATAAGATACACTCCTAAAATCAAGGAGAAACAGGCCTGATGGGACATGATGACATTATAAAGCAATGGGCGACAAATGGCAACGTAGCGGTCATATGCCATTGCAGCCAACATGTGACACTCTGATACAACAAAGAGAAGGAAGAAATAGAGCTGAGCCATGCACTCAGGGTAGGAGATGGTGTTCTTCTCTGCCACAAAGTCCACCAGCATTTTGGGGGTAATGACAGAGGAAGAGCAGAAATCAATGAAGGACAAGCTGCTGAGGAAGTAGTACATGGGGGTGTGCAGGTGAGAACTGAGCCCAATCAGTGTGATCATGCCCAGGTTGCCCACCACCGTGACCACGTAGATTCCTAGGAAAAGGAGGAAGAGGGGCAGCTGGAGCTCTGGCTGCTGCGTTAGCCCAGCGAGGATGAACTCGGTCACCGTGGTGTGATTTCCCGATGCCATCTTCCTCTGGGTAATTTCTGAAGGGGAGAGAGTGAGGCACAGTTTTGGAGACATTTTCTTTTAATCCACATTTTACAAAGTACCCCTTATTTAAAATGAATGGCTAATATAGTCCCTTGGTTTCTATATAATGATTTTAACTCCTCATGAATTTACATAAGGAGTACTTATCTTCATTAAAAATTGTATAGCTTATAACCTTTTTCAAAGAATATTGCTTCTCTCTCACTTACCAACTTTACATTTCCCTGTATGGCCCCGGAATATGGCTGGTTAGCCAGAGAC